CCGCAACCTGCACTGCAGGGTTAACATGACGCAGACCCACTGGCCGCAACCTGCCCTCGCAGTGTTAAACCTAAGCGCGGACCTGTGTCCGCAACCTGCGCCTGCAGGGTTAAACCTAAGCGCGGACCTGTGTCGCAACCTGCGCCCGCAGGGTTAAACCTAAACGCGGACCTGTGTCCGCAACCTGCACCCGCAGGGTTAAACCTAAGCGCGGACCTGTGTCCGCAACCTGCACCCGCAGGGTTAAACCTAAGCGCGGACCTGTGTCCGCAACCTGCACCCGCAGGGTTAAACCTAAGCGCGGACCTGTGTCCGCAACCTGCACCCGCAGGGTTAAACCTAACCGCGGACCTGTGTCCGCAACGTGACTCGGACCCACGTTCGCAACCTGCACTTGCAGGATTAGCATACGCAGATCCGGAGTCATAGCCTGACAGATACGGAACCGTAGACACGTATACATGCTGACGTGTTACCACCACCAGTTATAGGTATATTTACCATCTTTTAGTGTTTGAGGGACCTTTGGATAGCCAGCACGGCACTGATGTCCGGGCGGATGTAGGATGTGAAGGCAGAGGAGGACCATCGTCCGAGTTGTTGCAGGGATGAGGATGAGACACCTTGATTAGCAGCGGAAGTAGCTGCGCCTATTCTAAAGGAATGCCCCGTGTATAGAAGGGGTGAACCCGGATTTAATGAGGACTTGTTTTAAATAGATATTGAACTGTCGTTGAGTTAAAGGAAAATTCCCTAAGATAAGGAATAATGGTGAGAGAGGATTAGAGGTAGGTCTAAGCTGTAGGAATTTGATCATGGATTTATAAGGGCAGAACTGGGAGTCGATGCGGGCGGCGATGACGAAGCAGCGCCGCCGCATTTGGAGTGTTTAAGATATAAGCTAAAGTGGCTAGCGTGAAAGGATATGTCAGAAAAGCTGACGTCTCGATTGGAATCGAATGTAAGGGAAGCTGTGGTAAATTCACCTGGTCTGAGAAAGGCATAAAAGCTAGGAGAAATAGAGCGTCGAGTAGCGCATTGATGTAAGGGGAGAATAACTCACTTCTAAGTTTGAAGAGCATGAGGCGTAAAGTGGAGAGTGTAATAGGGCGTCTCCGGTCTAAGACGGGGGGAGAAGTTCTAATGAGACCTTTGAGGATGAGTTTGACTGACTGGTTTGCGAACAGCTGGGAAAGCCGGGATCGGAACAGCGAACGTTAAACTGCACTCCGGCTAAGAGCCCCGGATGCTTTTTTGATTGACTTCTTCTTTCGAGGTGTTAGATCCAGCGAGTGTGATAATAAATGTGTAGCAATAGTGGAAATCTGAGTGTGCCGCTATGCGGATGATCTCATGCAGATGTCCCCCCCAAAACGGAGGATGTGCGGTGCACGTCCTTAAGTCGGGGCCGAAGAATGTAATGCATGAAAGAATGCATGTAAAGTACGGTTGCCCGATGAGGAGGAGCAACTGTCGTTGAAGACGTTTATGTGGATGCACGCAGTTTGGTTAGAGGAACGTTAATACCATGAGCTTGATGTGATGCCTAGGAACTCCAGGTGTGTGACTGGGCCTATAGTTCCTCATGATTAGGAACGCTATGCTCCTGGAGGATTCTCTTCTTCTTTATTTTTCTCTTTTCCCAGTTGAGCGGAGTTATAGGTTAGTAATGTTGTATTTGAACACTAGATGCGTAAAAGCAACGCATGAGGAGATCTCCCTGAGCAGTGCGTGATTTGAACTGGGGAGAGACAGCTATTAATATTATTTACGCGAATAGCCGGTGCACACGTAGTTTCTCCTTACTTGACTGCCGCTTACGGCTGAAAGAGTTCCGCTGAAAGATGATGGGAACTTTAAAGCGCGTCGTTAATGTCTGCTTTGAAGAGCCAGCCTTGGCCTGCGCACTATTAAGATTACATTATCTCTGTGCGTAGAAAGGGGGGACATTGACCTTTGTCATCGAGATTGCCCTGAGCCTTTAACAAAACGTATTAAACAATCTGATGACAGACTGTAAACAGAATAGCTGAAATTTAACAAACTAAATAACTCAGTTACCTCTAATCATTAACCCATGTTTGTATAATGTAGTTAACTCCGTGTGTTGCTGCTAGCATACATAACACCTGACGTGGAAACGTTACTCGTGGATGGGGCTACAGGGCTGCTAGAAAGACAGTCGAACCCGGTACATTCCTCCGTCTGCATGCGGTGCACTTTTGCTAAATGTTTAGACAAATTGCTCGTGCTTACATGCTAAACTCTTATTGCACTTATGGTAACAAGTATTCTCCACATCGAGACGGGTAAAGTTTAACCACACCTCGGAGCGCGTTCTCTCCGCCATCTCCGCAGTGTGCTCCGCTGCATGTAGCAGCTGCGTGTGTGTAAACTGCCCCGCCCCCTCGCACACAGACGGGAGAGAGATCTCGTCTGATCGAAAATACATCATAGACGCATTTGTTGTCTTGCATATTAGAAACGAGTTGGCGACACTAAGACTGCGATATAATGTTTTTTAGCAATAATGCATGACATATATTTTATAAATGTCTCCGGTACCGATAAAAGACCAATACGTTGGAACTTAACGGCGCGTAAAACACACGTGATGACGTCACCAATGAATCG